GGAATAAAATAGTTTAATTGAAACATGTTCTTTGCTAAATGAAATAAATAAATTAAAAAAATAAATATATACATATGACACCAAACTCACTGGTGTCGAGTCGGATATGACTCATATAGCCTCACAGCAACCTCTCCTAGGGTTTCCGAGGCAGCATCACTATGGAAGTAGATTGTGCAACCTTCCTTCCAAGGAGTGGCTGGTGGGTTTGAACTGCTAACTTTCTGGTTAGCACTCAAATGCCTTAGGCACTATGCCACCATATATATATATGTCAGTGACTTTCCAATATTTATCCTGCAGCTTTGGCCCCTAAATTTGTCCATCTCCAGCCTAACTGAGGTTCCCACTTATATGTCTTACACGTCTGAGGGGTATCTCAACAAATACAGCTAAGGCATAATGCTTGATTTGTTTCCCCAAAACTTTCTCTCCCAGTGCTTTCACCTCAGTAAAAGGCACCACCATCCACCTAGAAGTAATCCATTCACTTTTCTTCTCTACCGCTTCAGTACAAACTACAACCATGTCTTACCCAGATTTCTGTAGTTCCCTGTGGCGGTTAAGTTTGCGTGTCAACTGGGCTGGGCCTGGTTGAGTGGCTGGACAGCTGGATGTAGTATTCCCCATGATGAGACTGGTAATCAACTCCATGGTGGAATCTACTGTAAGCAGCTGAGTAGCTGCCTTAGGAATGTGGTCTGCTTCCTGTATTTAAGGAGAAGCCTTGGGGAATGGTCTCTAGCCTATGGCACGCTTGGACCCTGCATGTAGCCGCTTGAACCCTGCATGTAGCCATGTAGTTGTTCAGCAGCCTGCCATGCTCTGCCAACCGTGGGACTTTCAATGTACTTGAATTAATGGCCTGCTGTGTGGTTTGGTAACATTGGGCTGTACCTTTTTACTTGTCAGCCTTGGGTTTGTCAGCCTCAGCAGCCAGCAGCTGAGTGAAGAAAAGCCTCCAGCTTCATTGGGGTAGGAGCAGGAGGCAGAGCTGGAACTCAAGGTTGAGGGGCTTTCACCCAGCCCCTTGAGCCTGGCATTTTGAACTTGGAGTTAAAGCCTCCAAATTGTAAGAATAAATTCTGTTTGTTGAAGCCATCCCATTTGTGATGTATTCCTGTCGGAGTGGCACTAGGGAACCAGAACTTTCCCCAAATGATCACCCTGCTTCCATTCTCCACAGAGCTGCCAGAGTGATCTTTTTAGAACATAAATCAGAAAACGTGACTTTCCTGATCAAAAATCTCCACTAGCTTCCCATTACACTGGGATTAAAATGCAAACTACTTCAGCAGCCTACAAGACCCTGTGTGGTGGGCCATGCCTGCCTCTCTAATCTTACTTCAACCACCTTCCAAATCCACTAGGTACACTGGAGTGCTTTCTCTAAACTCCCACCCGTGAAGCCCTTTCCTGGCTCAGAGCCTTATTATTTCCTGGTCCTCTTGCCTGGATCACTCTTTTCTCATGGATGACCTGGTCATTAAAGCTGGGCTCAAATGTCACCTCCTTTTAGAGACCTTCTCTGACCACCCGGAGTAGGCAGCACTTCCTTCTAAGTCATTGCCAGGTCGTTGCTTCCATTGACATGCAGTGTTTTTCCCCCCACAGCCTCATAACCATCTGAAATTATATTATTTTCTGCTTTCAAAGTTGTTTTCTGTCTCCTCCACTGCATCATATGTTTCAGGAGAAGCAGGACCCCAATGTCGAACAATACTTTGCACACAGAGGCAGAAACTTGCACACCTAGAGAAATGTCCAGGTTGTTCCAGTTTCCCTCTGAGCACCACTGTCGTGGATTAGTGTTGGGAAGAGACAGTTTCCGGGGACAACTCAGGGACGAGACAGAGAGCCTCAGATCCTGGTCCAGATGAAACGGGCTGGCTGAAAGAGACAGGAGACAGAAAGAAACCAGAGACAGAGACTCAGGGTGAGTTCCAGAGGGAGAGACCCGAAATAGACCAAAAGCTAGACCCAGATTTGGCCAACTAGAGGTCGAGCGCCAGAGAGCAGATTGAGCTGGAGACAACGCCAGCAGAGGGGGCGCGGAGGGAGTTCGAGCGCCCGGAGGGAGCGGAAGGCCCGCGCCGCAAGCCCGGGGGTTTGGGGGCTGCCACGCCCCCTCTCACAAGTGGCCGCCCCAGCGGGCCCGTGCGCGGGGCCTCCTGCGGGCTCGACGCGTGCGGGATCAAAGCGGCCGGGAAGGGGCGGCGCAGGGAGGTGTCAGGGCCCTGGAGGTGTGAGCGAGCTTCCCAGGGGACAGCCAGAGCGTGGGAGCGCAGAGAGTCCCGGAGACCGCCAGAGACCTGGCGAGACAGCGAGAGATCCAGAGATCTGCAGAGAGACCACTGGAGACCGGGAGGCGCTCAGAGATCCAGACTCCGAAAGATCCAGAATCGAAGTTGCGGAGAAACCTGAGATCCGAGACAGAGATGCAGAGAGGCACGAAGAGACACGGAAAGGCAGAGATACGAAGAGGCGAAGACACAGGACACAAAAAGAAAGCGCGAGTCAGAGATAACAGACAGTAAGAGAGAGGAAGAGAAAGGGAAAGACGCTCCGGGGACCTGAAACCTCGCCCCTCCCCCGCGGAGGGCCCTGAAACCCCCCGGGGCAGGGACCGGCGCGCCGAGCTCTTTCTCAGGGTCACGCCTGTGGAGGTGCGGGGCTGGGGGCGGAGAGAAGGATGTCTAGTCAGTAAGACGCCCACCTCCCCAGGCTGGTAGGAGCGGAGTATAAGGACATAGGGAATCGCGAATACATTGTAAGTCTCAAACTCTGCGATGAAGTCAAAGTTAAAAGCAAATATTAGTATTTGGTAGAAATGTTAAACATAAAGATGCTTTTTAGGAAAGTTATCAAACTTACATACTTAGCTGGAGGGAAAAAAAAAAAGAAGTTACTAGTGCATTGGCCGGGAATCGAACCCGGGCCTCCCGCGTGGCAGGCGAGAATTCTACCACTGAACCACCAATGCAGGACGGTAAGGAGGCCTGGCGACTCTACCCAAGTTTGTGAGAAGCTATGACGGCGGTGTTTCCCGACCAGAGGGTGTAGGCTAGTGATCCAGACCAGCAGCAGTCTCCTGATTGACGTGGGTGGAGCGCCAGGCCAAACTTCCTCTCTGCCGGATGCTGCCTCTGGGCCATAAAGCCGCCCCATATGGCCAGGGGCGGCCCCACACCCGGGTGCGAACAGCCCGGGGCCCCAAAGCCTCGCGTGCAGGTGAGAAAAACTCAGCTCCAGCTCAGGTTCCCAAGGAGGGGGGCGGCGTGGGCTACTAGGACCACACATCTGCGCTCCCATTTGGCTGAGATGGGGGAAGGTAGGGGGTTCTGGGAGCCTTGATTCCAAATGGGAGCCCGCTCCCCAAGGTATGTGCCCCCCCCGGCCTTCAGCTTTGGCGAGGCAGGCTCCGTGAAAGCATCCAGGTGCGGAGCGGTGCTGGGAGGGCTGGCGGAAGCCCCACCCACCGGACTCGTAGCTCGGCAGCTAACTCTGTCTCTGTCTGTAAGCCTGTCTCTCCGTGTCTTTGTCCCTAGCACTCTTGCTGTCCCATTAAAATTCTCTGATGTATCGTCTCTGGCCATCTCCCTGTGTCTCCCTGTGTTCACACCTTATTCTGCAGAAGGGTCATGTTCTTCCTTTGAGGTGGGTGCCAGGTGCATTCTTGTATCCCTTTTTGTCCCTTTAGGAAAACTACCTGCTTTCAGCTCCTCTGCACCCACGAGGGGCCCCCAGAAGCAAGAAAGGCACCTACACTTATGTGAGGCGTCCTGGCAGCCATAGTCCTGAATCTCCTAGAATTAATTCTGAGCCAAAAACGTTTAAGTGGAAAGATCTCTCCATCTCCTCCTCACGCTTCAAGGCCTTCCTTCCTTTTCCTTGAAGCTTCTTCCCTACCCTCCCAAGATTCAGCCACCTCTCAGGAAATCCTTTTTCTGATCACCTGCTTCACTCTGCCACTATACTAGCTACTTGATGACACGTGGTCTTTTTCACTAGCTCCTTGAGGGACAGGCTTGGCCTCTCAGGAGTCATGGCATGAGCTGTCTAAGCCTAGACTAGGGCTCTGCCGGTCCAGTAAACCCAGAGATCTTGGGGAAATGGATTTAACTGATCCAAGTAGGAAGTGGATTTTAGGGAAAGTGGGTGGGTGTGCTAACTTTCTTTTAGGGTTAGTGGAGGTACAGTGAGCCCCTCAAGGAAGCTGCAATGCTGGACTCTGCACTTCATTCTAAAGATGCTCTCTGTCCACCGTCGAATTTCCCAATAAGCAAGGGAAGCGTGGGCTTACTTGTGTCTATTCCTGATCTGTAGTAAAAGATATCACATTTTTTCACCACATCAAATATTTTGCTTCTAGGTATAGCTGGAATCTTGTTTCCCACCCAGCCCAACAGCACCTTCCAACAGAATCAGAGCCTCTTTTCAAACGTATAGTCCCTGACAGGGACGAAGTACGCAGTAAGCAAAATAAGCATGGGTTTCCTTGTGCTTCTGTTGTTAGGTGGCGTGGAGTTGGTTCTGACTCATACGTACAACAGGAGGAAACCCTGCCGGGTCTTGCTCTGGTGAAACCCTTGTTTCACTACAGGTTAGTTAGTAAGCACAAGTAAGTCCCTGCTTACCTGGCTTAGTGGGTAATGTGCCCCTACTTTGGGGACCCAAATCGCTCGCACTTCCTTCCTTTCCTCCTCCCTTCAGCAGGGTCCCTCCTTCTTACACAAACTTGGGGGTCTTAAAACCGGATGTCGCCTCTGTCACCCCTTGCTCCTACTCCCAGGCCCAGCCCGGGGCCAGTCCCACTCTTTCCCCTCCCCCTTTCACTCCTCCCCTTTCCGGGAGACTCGTGCCTCGGTCCCGCCGGGAGGTTGCGGTTGTTGGAGGGGATGGGGACGGGGGCGGGGTCGTGCCCTCGGGACTCCGGCGCCTGCGGGATATAAGGCTCTGGGCGCGCAGGTACCCGGTCCACACCCGGGTCCAGAGGAACGATGGTCACAAGGGATCGAGCCGAGAATAAGGACGGGCCAAAGGTGAGAGGCGGGAGGGGAGGGAGCAGAGGTCCCTGGGCCGGTTTGGAGACCCTTGCTGGGAGGGAGGTGGTGGATCAGGGTAGAGGCTAGAGACTCAGGGCTGCTGGGGGAGAGGTGCCAGGGGGACCCGAGGAGCCAGGAACTGGGGAGGAAGCTGCCAAGTATGAGGAAGGGGAGCTGCGTGGGCGGCCGAAGCAGAGGCCTGGGAACTTGGGTAATGGGGTCGGCACCTCCCGGCCTGCGGGTGGGTGGCCGGGGGCCTGCACTGGAGTAAAACAAGCAGGAGGACGAAGACAAGCGGTGAAGTTGGGAAGGAAAAAGCGGAGAGCATAGGCGCGCTCGCTCCACGCGGGCTGTGAGCGGGCCCAGTCCCAGGCGGGCTGGTAGAGCAGGCCGCGGGCCATGATCCCAGAGGCCCGAGACCCGGTGGAAGATTTTAGGAGAACCAGTGGAGCAGGGTGACCGCAGAGATGGGTTAGAGCAAGAAGAGGAGGCGCGGCCGCGCTGGGTATCCCTCTTTCTACACTCAGGGCCGCCAGCTCTAAGCCTGGCACCGTGTGGCGCACGTGCCTGGGTGCAAAGCGGGTGCCCAGAGTTCTCCACTGAGACAGAGTGAGACTGCACAAGACGGAAACGTAGAGAGACACGGAGGGGAGGAGGGAGGACGAGACCGGGAGTGGAGAAAGCTGACGACCCGGGAGAGAGGAGGCGAGCTCCAGAAACTGACCCTAGGGGCGCGGGGAGGGGGAGCGGAGCGGGCGCCGACGGGCGGGACCCCAGGCTCCCCGGGGTCTGGGGGTGGGGTGGAGGCGGGGCTCTCCCAGGGGCGGGCTCCCGCCGCCGCGCCGCTGCGCTGAGCCTCGGTCCGCTGGGCCCGCTCTCCCCTTCCCGCTCGTCGCAGATGCTGAAGCCGCTGGTGGAGAAGCGGCGCCGGGACCGCATCAACCGCAGCCTGGAAGAGCTGAGGCTGCTGCTGCTGGAGCGGACCCGGGACCAGGTCAGTCCCTCCGCCGGCCACGGAGCCGCAGGCATCCGGTCTCGCGTCTCAGGGCTTCTCTCGCGGGTGGGGGCATATGCCGGCTTGGCGACCCTGGCCGCAAGGCATGCTGACCTGAATCCTGTCCTTGGAATCCCATCCCAGACCCCCCTCTCGCTCTCAGAACACGAACTGCATTGCCACCCCTCGGGTCTGTAAGTTTCACGCCCGGGTCAATGTCGCCCCCGGGCTCTGTCATCTCGCGTTCCCATCTCCCCCAACCCTAGAGGCTACCAGCTTCAGGTCGGCGGGGTTGGCCAACTTCACTCCCTGAGCTCGCTGTGTGGGTCGGTGGCATCCCCTCGGGTGGGACAGTTGGTCTCAGGGTGGGCCAGGGCCCATTCGTGGTCATCTCCACTCAGCATTTGGCGGCACGCTTGCTTTGTGGGCCGAGCGCAAAAAAGCGACCGGGGGGCACCCCGAAGTCCCGCATCCTCCCCTCCCTTCTGCCCCCTGCCACTTCCCCTCTCTCCCCACCCCTCTCTGTCTCTGCGCCCTCCCCTCCGGTCTGCAGAACCTCCGGAACCCGAAGCTGGAGAAGGCGGAGATACTGGAGTTCGCCGTGGGCTACTTGCGGGAGCGCAGCCGGGTGG